AAGGAAGAGCTGATGGGAAAGGAACTCTGCCCTATCTCACACTTTCCTTCCATGTCATCATTTCCAGCGTAAGTGGTTGGCTCATACAGAGAAGAAACACAGTAAGAAAGGACAGGCTGGGCTTCTTTGGTGGTTCATGTTTCTTAGGATGCCATTACATTTTATTTGCATTTGAAGCAAGTTCTTATTCAAATGGAAAATCTGGCCTCTCCAGGGTGTCAGCACCTTGCTTACCTCATACTAACTTTGAACCTCACCAAACTCCTACTCGTGGCAAGTCCACGGGGCATCAGGAATGTTATGTGGAAACGGGGTGGCAAGCAACAGCGACACACCACGCCTATCACTGCTGTTCATGCTCATGCCCCATGACCCATCAGACCACTCAGAAAACACAAGTTCAACGATAAAAGTATTAAGAATTTCAAGAAGGCAACAGCAGAGGCTTAAACCAGATGGGTGATCCTTCTGAATGCCAGGCCCTGTCTGACCACACAACTGCTCACCCATGAAGCCTGCCCTGCTCTGTTGCTGCTGCTGGGAGTGAGCAGATGAAGGAACACAGTGGGGAAAGAGACTGGGGTTGGGAGGGAGGAGACAAGGCAGAGGTGACAAAGGTGTGTGGTTGGGGCATGCATTCTGATGTGAGCACTTAGAGAGAACCCACGGCCCTGGGGACAGGAGCCTGGCCTGTTCCCCACAGGCATGTGCAAGAGGAGAAGTTGGAAAGCATGGCTATAATGTCCACTGGGGATTCAATGCAAAGATCAGCCACCATTAGCAATGATCTCTTACATTCCTGAAGAGCAGGCCAGAAACCATCATGCTGAAAAATAAAAAGAATGACAACACTAAGTGTTGGTGAAAACATGGGGAGATGGGAAGTGCACCCTGTTGGTGGGAGTGTGAATTGCCTGATTCACTTACAGAGCAATGGGCAATCCCAATTGGCAATCCCCAGTGAACGGAGGATGCTCAGACCTCACAGCACAGAAATTGTGTTTCTAGACATATTCCAGAGAGAACCTCTTGCATGAAGCAACAGCAGCAAGGTTGGAAGATGTTCATCAAAACATGGTTTGCAATAGCAAACAATTGGAAACAATTATCATATTTTAAAAAATAAAATAAATATATTAAAACAAAGGACTTCTATAAGGCAGGTGAAGTGCACATCTATCAAGAATAAATCTCAACAGCATAATATTGAGGGGAAAAGCAACTTGAAGACTGTGTACAGCGTGAAAATGTGTGTGTAAAAACACAAAAACCAATTCTCTCCGTCGTGTGTGGATACCTGCCAAGGTGGTACAGTGTAGAAGCACAAACAGGAAGGATGCAGCCAACTTCAGGATGGGGTTGCCTCCAGGGAGAGGCGAGTAGGATGCAGGAAGGATGGAAAAGAGATTTCTGAAGGTAAAAATCAGAAACATGCAAAGCAAAAATGTTACCATATGTTAATTCTGCATGGAGGGTACATGAATATTTATTTTATTTCCTAGAGTTTTCTGTATGTGGAAACAATTTTATTTATTTATCCATTTATTTTATTTATTTTTTTTATTTTTAGAGACAAAGGCTCACTCTGTCACCCAGTCTAGAGTGCAGTGGCAAGATCACAGCTCACTGTAGCCTCAAACTCCTGGGTTCAGGTGATCCTCCAGCCTCAGCCTCCCGAGTACCTGGGACCACAGGCATGTGCCATCATGCCTGACTAATGTTTTAATTTTTTGCAGAGACAAGATCTCACTATGTTGCTCAGGCTGGTCTCAAACTCCTGGCCACAAGCAATAATTTCTGCCTCAGCCTCCCAAAGTGGTGGGATTACAGGTCACAATTTAAAAACAAAAAACATAAACAGTGCTGAAAAGTTTCTTTTTGTTTTCCAACCCACTCCTCCCGTCTCCGCCTTTTAAAGACAGGGAAACTGAGGCTTGCAGCAGGTGGGGATGGGGCGACAGGATTGAAGGCAATGGATGAGACCAGGAAGGGAGATGAGACCAGCTACCCGCTTCCGGGATCCGGTTTGGCTCCGCCCCGCGCAGCCGTATCCACGGCAACCAGGTCTATTAGCGAGACTGGACCAGCGGCCAAACCCTCAGGTGCTCCAGGCGGGAGTCAGAGGCGCTGCCTAGAGGGGCATTTCTTAAATATAAAGAACCGCGTTGTCCCGGCCCGCCAGGTCCCTCACAGCTGCATCCCCTACCCTGAGGGCAACGTCGAGTCACTTCTGAAACTGCTTTTGTTAAACTTCAGCTGCAGCCGTTGACCACCAAGGGTGTGCGGGGCGCCGCCTGGTGTCCCGCACCGCTCTGCACATTTGTCATGGGCGTGTGTCCTCCTGGGGACCCCAAGAGCTCGCGGTGACAAATCACTTGGAGACCCCAAGAGAGGAAAGGGCTTCAGAACCTGCCAGTGTGCACTTCTATATACCAATACGCCCATCCTTAAAAAAAAAATGTTTTTATAAATTTGTTTTACTCTAAAAGTAACATAAATCTGTAGAAAATATGGAAAATCATCTCGCCACCCATGCACAGCCAGCACTAACACCAGCATCTTTATCCTCCGATATCCCCCTCTCCCATTCATTTTTGAGGAGGCAGTTTTTTACCAAATGGGGAAATCTATAACCTCAGAGTGATTAGATGTGGATTAAGATACAGCTTCTTTGCTTAACTGCCACCTTGGGCAAATGAATGAATTTCTCTACACCTCAGTCCTCTGACCTGTAATATGGGAATGGTAACAGCCTCTGGTCATTGGGAAATTTTCAATGATAAAATGCTTAGCTGGTTTTAAACACATAGTAAGCAGGAAGTAAAACTGCAGCCACTGCTATAATTATAGTAGCAAAATATAGCATGGGATAATTATCATATTCTATAGTCCACTTTTAAAAATTTAATACAGCATGATTGTTTTTTTCTATATCCTTAAATATTATCTGAGAGCATGATTCTTACTGATCACATGACAATCTAACATAGGGATGGATCAGATAACTTATTTAAGCAATTCTCCGTCACTGAATTCTGGGGAGGGGATGGTTCCTGATTTTTTTCCTTTTCCAAACAATACCAGAGAGGATATTCCTTATTCATTGTTTACTTATTGTTGATTCATTAGCTTTTATGTGCAGGAAAACCTTCCCCTTCCCAGGATCACATAAGTATTCTCCTAAATATGTTCTTTTATGGCTTCATGTTTTTAATTGACTTCTTTAATCCTGCTGGAATTTATTTTGATACCATAAAGCAGGCGTTCTCAAACTACAGCCCATGGACCACATGCGGGTGTTTTTGCCCGTTTGTTTTTTTACTTCAAAATAAGATATATGCAGTGTGTATAGGAATTTGTTCATAGTGTTTTTTAAACTATAGTCCGGCCCTCCAACAGTCTGAGGGACAGTGAACTGGCTCCCTGTTTAAAAAGTTTGAGGACTCCTACCATAAAGTGATAGCTAAGAAGTTTAATTTTATTCTTATTCATAATAATCTAGTCAATCGCCCAGCATCATTTATGGAAGCAGCCAACCTTTCCTCCTTGAGTTGCTAGCCCACGTTTATTGCATTCTAAACTTGTCTGTGTACTGCTCTCTGTTGGCTTCTGGCTCTGGCTGGATTTGCACGTGGCTCTGTTGGTCACAAGGCAGCACTTTGTTGATGCTCATGGAAACTCAACCTTGCAGCACTGGCTCCAGGGTCAGAAAGGAGTTGCCAAGCCTTGAGCTCTCTTCCAACCAGTCTTGATTATGTGTTTTCTTTTCCTCACCATGCACAATCTTGTATTCTTGTCAAGCCTCAGTTCACATTGTCCATGGTCGGCCACATCTATCCATGGTCATTGTCATGACTTGGAAATCTCTCAGCACTTACATATTCAGCCTCCTCATGTGTGGCAGATTTTATTTTCCAAAGATGTCCTTGCTGGTATATTTATCCATCCTATGTGCTCTTTTTACAAATTGACTGACAAGCCTCCCCTGAAAAGCCAATTTCTATGCCCTCTGAACCCTTAATAGGGACGGAATTTCTGCTTGGGACGATGAAAGAGTTCTGAGAATGGATAGTGGTGATGGTTGCACAAATTGTGACTGTACTTAATGTCACTGAACTGTATGCTTAAAATGATTAAAATGATAAATTTTATGTTTATTTTATATTTTATGTTTATATTTTATGTTTATATTTTATATATATTTTACCACAATACAAATACTAAAAAAAAAAAAAAAGCAAAAACCAATCATCTCTGCTTTCCCCTCTCTAAATTTCTGAGCCACAGAAATCACCCCCAATAAATTTGGAGTAATTTGTTATGCAGCAGGAGCTAACTTATACATTTATAAATACATTATAAATTTTTAGTGCAGAGCCTCTCCTCAAAGCACCTACAACACCTCCAAGAACACCAGTAGCTGCTCAATACATGTTTATAGATTTAAATTGAAGATGCTCTAAGCTACAGATGTGATCTTTAATTCTTTAATAGTGAGTAAAGTTACATCCTCTATCAGAGACTTTACGTAGGTCAGCATATTGGAAAGAAGAATAGAACTATTTCTGGACTCTCCTGGATACCAGGCACATCATATACCTTGTGGTTAAATACCTGGCTTTTGGAGTCAGGAAAATCTGGGTTCAAATTGTAGCACCATGTTTAGGCTGATCTTGGTGTACTCTTGAACAAGTTGCTTGATCTCTCTGGGCCTTAGGTTCCTTAACTGTAAAATGGGTATAACAGAACCTCTTACAAAGGGCTGTTGTGAGGATTGAACAAGAGAGATGCATACTAAAGCACGAGCGAAAACCTGGGCATATTTAGCGCTTAAGAAATCTCGGCTCTATCTCATCTGCTCCTCACAATGGCTCTATAAAGTAGGAGCAGTCTTATCTCCGTGTTACAAGAATGTGGCCCTATATTAGTTTTCTAGGGCTGCTGTAACAAAGTACCACAGTCTGGGTGGCTTCGACCATAGAAATTTACTGTATCTCAATTCTGGAGGCTGGAAGTCCAGGATCAAGGTGTTGGCAGGGTTGGTTTCTTCCGAGGCCCCTCCTTGGCGTGCCCACAGCCGTCTTCCCCCTGTGTCTTCACGTAGTTGTCCTTCTGTGAGTGTTGTGTCCTAATCTCTTCTTGGAAGGACACTGGCCCTATTGGATTAGAGCCCACCCTAACCCTAATGGCCTCATTTTAACTTAATCGCCTCTTTAAAGGCCCGGTCTCCAAAGACAGTCACATTCAGAGGTACAAGGGGTTGGGGCTTTGACGTATGAATTCTGGAGTGACACGATCAGCTTGCCATAGCCCCCCTTCCCTGTTATTTTGGGATTCTAACTCTGAAATAGGTGGAAGTGTAGATTGGCTGGGACCTCACCCCTGGCATCTCCTGGTTTCTGGGCTGTGTCTAGATCAGGAGGAAGCGTCTGGTCAGTGCAGAACGGCGTGGCTGTCCCAGCCTCAGCATCTCATTCCACGTGGAGCTGGGCCGGCCACCCCCACCGCAGCCTTGGCAGGACTAGAAAGAGCCAGTGAACCCTTGCAGAGAGACGCCTGTTTAGACAGGCCCAGGCCAGCAGCCGGCAGCGCTCACCTCCAGGAGAGGGGAAAAATTATCTGTTGGCTAAATGGAAAGAACAAACTTTCAATTAATGACTCCCTGGGGGTGGGGGAAGGGGAGGATTGGTGGGGACATCGCTAGACGGTAAAAATTTCCATCCGTGGTGGCTGAGAAAATCCGCCGGGATATACCGAGGATGGGGGTGGGGGGTAGTGGACAGACAAAAACATGGAAAACTAGATAAGCGGGGCGGTTTTAAATGATGATGCAAGTGAAGCCAGGTGATTTGACAAGGGGGTGCTGGGGGCTGTCTGTTTTACAAAGGAAGGTCAGAGAGAGTCTCTTGGAGGAGGTGGCATTTGAGTCGAGGCCTGAAAAGTTATGGAAAGATCTAGAGCTGGGCTTCTCCAACGTAGGCACTATGGATGTTTTGAGCAGGGTAATTCTTTGGTGGGGAGCGGGGGTCATGTAAGATGATGAGCAGATCCTGGGAACACACTGCCCATCCCTGGCCCCCAGGTTGTGACAACCGAAATGTCTCCAGGTGTTGCCATGTGGCCCGCAGGAGGCAGCCTAAAGCACTGCTCCGGAGAGGGGCTTCCAAGAGAGGAAACAATAACCGTGGAGGCACTGAAGTGGGAACGAGCTTGGCAGGTTTTCTGGGAACAGAAGTTTCTAGAAACAAAAGCTTTCAAGGAGATGACAGTTTATGGGTGGTGTCCAGCATGGCAGGACAGGGGAGGAATAGGGGAGGCTGGTGGAGAGGTGTGCAGGGGCCAGGTTCCATAGAGCCTGGCGCTGGGGAAGAGGGTGGGTCTCATTCTACACGTCGGGGCGACATGGGGTGGGAGGAGGGGGGATGGGAGAGGACCGAGAAGCTCCCTCCAGCTGCTGGGGTTGGGGTATGGGGCAGACTGGGGATGACAAGAGGATCAGTTTTCCTGTGATCACTGTAACAAATTACCCAAGAGTAGGGCTCACTACACCAGAAACATATTCTGTCATTCTGGAGTCCAAAGTCAAGGTGTCGGCAGGGCTTCTGCTGGAGGTTTTAGGGGATGACTCTTGCCTCCTCCAGCTTCTAGTGTATCCAGGCATTCCTCGGCTATGGCAGCATCATTCCAATGTCTGCCTCTGTCTTCACTTGGCCTTCTTCCCATGTCTCTCTGTGTCCTCTCCTTCTCTTATAAAGACACCAGTTACTGGACTTAGGGCCCTTGCTAAGTATAGAGAGACAACTATTGCCATCACCTGGCAAGAAATGGTGGGGCCTGGGCCATGGGGAACCACGGAGATGGATCCCATGGATAGGCCGTTCAGTTCACACAGCAGATAGCCCTATGTTCTGACAAGGCTGCCCCCAAGTTTGGCACACAAGCCCAGGCCTTGTCCCAAAATGTCCCCTCCCCTGCAGGAGGGAGTCAGCCCCTCCCAGGGCTGGATCCAGGCTGCCCGGTGCCATGGCCACCCTTCTCCCCACTTCTGGTGCGTGGCGCTTTGAGGGTGCTGGGAAATCTCTGAGAAATATCAGTTCAGTCCCTGGCCCCCGCCCCCCATCTAAGGATCTCACATGAACATTCTTCCTCGAGAACTGAGATTACGAGCCTTTATCGCTGGGCCAAGGGTAAAATAGAAGAATGTCCCTGGAGTTCCTGTGCATGTCACCCTCCTAAGTGTAGGGCTGGGCTTGTTTTTCAGGTTTTTTTCCATGACGGATTTTTGTCCTCTGCAGAAACTAAACCAAGGACCTGGGTCCCCTGTCTTACTGGGGGACAGTGGGCATTCCTGGCCCATCAGAGACAGGGTCACCCCTATCTTCCAGCCACCTCTGCAGGGGCCCAGGTATTCTTGGTAGCCCCCTCTCCCCCACACACACATACCCAGAGCCTCAGTGGCCCTTGGAATGGGGAAATCACCTGGTCTCTGAGGTGACTGCTGTAGGAAGGAATGTTCCAGCAGCAGGAAGCCAGCTCCTGCTCCAGGCCACTGTAGAGGTGATAATTAGAGCCTGCAAGGTGTGGTGGCCACAAGGACTTTGCTGTAGGCAGGTGAAGACATTGAGAAGTAAGGGGAGGGGTGAAGAAAGGAGAGGAAGGGAGGGGAAGGGACAGCAGGGGGTGCAGATCCCTGATGCCACTCTAGAGTGCAGTGTCTGTGCCACAGTTACACATGTCCTGCTGTGACCTGCCGGAGCTATGCCCAGGGCTGTAAAGCTGATGCTCAGAGTCTGCGTTCTTGGATGCAGATACAGACACGCTCATGCAGGTGGCTGAGCCGCTCCCTGTGCTCTGTGCATGTCGTGGGGCTCACCGTACTGTGTGGGGACAGATGGCATTTACTGCCCACATCTCCCCCTGAGAGATTTGAATGCACGGATGGGGCAAGCTCAGAGAAGATAACAGAACTCTGGGCCACCCCCACAGCCACCAGTCTAGAAAGCCCAAACACAACCTCTGCAGCCATTGACCCCAGATTCCCTAATTTCATCCCTGCTTCCACTTGGGACCAAGTGGAGAAACCCAGTTATGCGCCCCCAGCCAATTGCACAGGAGGCCCTGCTTCCCCGGGCCGCATACCTGCAGCACACCTGGGGCCACGTGCTTCAGGGCAGACCTGGAGTCTTCCCTTTTTTGCTCTAGTGCTTTCCTCCTCCCCTGTCTGCCTCTAAGTCTCTGCCAAATGCAAATGATGGTGTACGACCCCCTCACTACAGCAAGCTCTGAGTGAATAGCCTCTGTTTGTTCTCCTTTTGGTGGACTTCGGACATTTCCACCAACTCCCATTATTTTACCTGATGTGAGTGTGTTACTTGCATCCTAACCTAAACACCTCTTCTGCATCTCTCCACCACAAACTGGAGATAACTGTCCACTTCATGTGCTGGTCCCTAGAAGGCCTTGGCACCCAACATGCCAGGGTGTTTTCCAATGGAAGGAAAAGAAAACCTGAACCCAAGTTGGGTTAAACCATAAGGATATTTGTTGTCCCACCTGGCAAAGTGTCTGCCAGGGGTGGCAGCTCCAGGGTGGGTGCATCCAGGTGTCCAGCAGGGCCACCCTCCTGTGTTGGCTGTACCCCCAGGTGACCTCAGGATGGCTCCCTAAGCAGTTTGATGATGGTGGACACTCTTCAGGGTTATCCACGGATAGGCCGGGCGCCGTGGCTCACGTCTGTAATCCTAGCTCTCTGGGAGGCCGAGGCGGGCGGATCGTTTGAGCTCAGGAGTTCGAAACCAACATGAGCAAGAGGGAGACTCCGTCTCTACTATAAATAGAAAGAAATTAATTGGCCAACTAATATATATAGGAAAAATTAGCTGGGCATGGTGGCGCATCCCTGTAGTCCCAGCTACTCGGGAGGTTGAAGCAGTAGGATCGCTTGAGCCCAGGAGTTTGAGGTTGCTGTGAGCCAGGCTGATGCCATGGCACTCACTCTAGCCTGGGTAACAAAGCGAGACTCTGTCTCAAAAAATAAATAAATAAATAAAATATCCACGGATGGCATCTATCTCTTCTTCTAAATGTCCTGTAGGAGCAAGACGTCTCACCGGCCAAAACTGCCACATGCCAATTGCTAACACTGGCTCTAGAATTATTATGATTGGTTGAGCTCAATCATAAGCCACCTCCTGGAGCTGGGGCTGGTGTTGGGACTCCTGGCCCCTCCCCACTGGGCTACTGGAATTGGGCAAATACTGGAATAAAAAGTGAGACCTGCCAGGAAGAAGTAGGATAGAATGGGTGTTGGGGAGTAGCTATTGCACCTGGGCAGTGCTTGGTTTGGTCCTCAGTGGAGAGAAGGAACTATGCCCCAGGAATTTCAGTGGAGAGAAGGAACTATGCCCCAGGAACTTCTTGGGCTCCCACTGGGTGTGGACAGGGATGCACCCCAGGGCCTGCTCCCCTCCTCAGGTTGTTTATTCACAGGTGAGATCCTCAGCTAACTCCCTCACTGGGCCTGCATTCACTTTGAGAACAAGAGTCCCTGGGAAGGCAGAAAGCAAAGCCTCGGAGTCCCAAGACCCTTTTCACTCCTGGCACCAACTGCAAAGTGCAGAGGTCCCCAAGATCACCCTCATCCTGACCCCAAGTCACCATAGCTACAAGTTTAGGGGACTCCCAAGACCACTCTCAGGTTTGATAAATCACCAGAAGGACTCAGAGAACCCACAGAAGGCTATTACAGGTCAGGCGCGGCGGCTCACGCCTGTAATCCTAGCACTCTGGGAGGCCAAGGCAGGCGGATTGCTTGAAGTCAGGAGTTCGAAACCAGCCTGAGCAAGAGCGAGACCCTGTCTATACTATAAACAGAAAGAAATTAATTGGCCAACTAATATATATAGAAAAAATTGGCAGGGCATGGTGGCGCATGCCTGTAGTCCCAACTACTCGGGATGCTGAGGCAGCAAAATTGCTTAAGTCCAGGAGTTTGAGGTTGCTGTGAGCTAGGCTGATGCTATGGCACTCACTCTAGCCTGAGCAGCAAAGTGAGACTCTGTCTCAAAAAAAAAAAAAAAAAAAAGAGGGCTATTACACTCATGGTTACCATTTGTTACAGGGAAAGGACATAGATTAAAACCAGTTAAGGGAAGGGGTGCATGGAGCAGAGCCTAGGGAGGCACCACATATGGGGCATCCATCACCCTCTCCCTGATGATTCACGGGCAGTGCTAACATCTCCCAGCAGTGAGGTGTGACAATATGGGTGGAGTACCACTAACCAGGGAAGCTCCCTGAGCCTTGGTGTGCAGAGTTTTTATTGGAGCTCAGTCACAGACATAGTTTATGGCCCATGTGACTAATCCTAGTTTCCAGCCCTTTCAGAGCTTGAGCTGATACTGCATGGCCCAAAGCCCCAACCATAAACCCCGTGGTTAGACTGCCCAGCACAGCCAAAAGCCCCAAGGGAAACAGAAATTCCTATCAAGTAGGACAAGTGCTTGCAAGTGCCTTCCAAGTGCTTAGAGGTTATCTCCCACAGGCTGAGGGCAAAGGCCAGACCTCTCTCTGGGTAAGGTTAATTCTTCTTCTTCTTCATTTTTGAGATAGAGTCACTCTGTCACCCAGGCTAGAGTGCAGTGGCATCATCATAGCTCACTGCAACCTCCAACTGCTGGGCTTAAGTGATCCTCCTACCTCAGCCTCCCCAAGAGCTGGGATTATAGATGTGCACCACCACGCCTGGAAAATTTTTCTATTTTTAGTAGAGATGAGGTCTCACTCTTGCTCCCAGTGGTCTCAAACTCCTGAGCTCAAGCAATCTTTCTGCCTTGGCCTCCCAGAGTGCTGGGATTACAGGTGTGAGCCACCACGCCTGGCGGTAAAGTTCATTTTCTTACTACACATTGGATATTTAGCAATAAATATCTGTCTTTGGAAGTTTTGATGTCACTAATGACTTTCAGGGAAGCCAAAACAAGAAGGGATGAGGGAAGGTCTGAAAAGCCTGCATTGAGTCCCCCAGAAACATCTGGCAGAGGCCACATTAATCAATGACTCCCTGGGCATCTTCATTAGAGGACCTTCCCAGACAAGAGCGTGTGGTGGTTAAAAAACAAAAGGAAGAAATTTGGTGGGAGGGGGATCTCAGCTTCAGCCCCAAGTGTTTTACAGAATGGGGTATTCAGAACTGAATGCTGACACCCCTCTCTGGTTAATTGTGGGTTTTGTTTCCAAAGGGTGGAAGCTCATTTTTACTGTAATTAGGTGAAAATTCTGTTGCAATCATGTCAGTAATTGCTATGCTCATACCACAAGGCAGGCCTGAGTGGCCAGCCCTCGAGAACAGAAGCCCATGGCCCTTCCAGCTTCCCCTTGGCCGGAGGCCACAGACTTCTCTCATTCCAGGTGCCTGGGACTTGGGGCTCATGGCCCTGAGGATCTAACCAACTCTAGATATTTAAACACAGACAGCAAGAGCTCCTGCCATTGTGATTTTCACCATTTATTGAACACCAGCTGTGTGAACACATTTCCTACGTTACTACATTCAATCCTCACAATAGTCCAAACAGATAGTTCCCAATAGACCCCGTTTACAGATGAGGAAAGTGAGGCTCAGAGAAGTAAAGCGACAGACCCAAAGTCACGCAGCTTGAGGGGGCAGAGCAGGGGTTTGCACTGAACAAAGTGCAGGGTAGTTGAAATTCCCTAAAACCTAGGCCTTAATCACGAGTCTCTTTCATTATAGATGCAGAATGGTATCTTTCCTCACACTTTAAAGTAGAAAACTGTGTGTCTAAGTGGAGGGCTCTGCAGATCGGCCAAAGAATTTTTCTAAAATGTGAGCCATCCACACATTACATATACACTCCAGCTCAAAACTGTGTGCTTTAAAATATAGTGTATTAATTGAAAATGCAGGGAATAGTTAGGCCAGCAGAGCAGATGACTGCCTTTGAAAAGATAGTTTTTTACTCACAGTTCCCAAGGCGGGGGACCTGCCACACCACGCTGGCCCACATGGGAAAGGACCAGCATCTGCCTGGAGGAAGAGAGTGAGGGAGGAAAACATGGGCGAGAGCCTTTATTGTTGTTTCTGGAAGGAATGGGAGAGGCGGGTTAGGCGGGGTTAGCGCTGACCAGTTTGAATCATCTCAGTGGGCTCTAAGGCATAGGGGCTGTCCCTAATTGTCTGGAACTCAGCCCTGGGATGATTAGGGCAGGAGATAGTGGCCAGGAGTAGGAGAGCCTGAAGGAGGGTAGTTGGAGTGTGAGCTCTGGATTGGTCAATTTGCACATGAAAGGCACACTGGCTGAGTTGCTTGCTACCTTTTAGGATTTGGTTAGTCCTGGGAGGGGAAGTCCTTCTCCAGGGTCAGCAGGACTCCAAGATGTGAATGCATCAGGATACAGAAAATGAAAGACATAGTTAAGGGATTTTCACCATCCTTCAATCATAATTACAGTCTGGACCACGTGAGAACAAGAGGACTTCACCAGGCTGGGGAGTAGAGAGGGAAGGAGAGTGGGAAGGAGAGGGGGGAGGGGTATGCAAGCAAAAGCAACTGTGTGAGCGAGTAAAGGTGAGGAGGCAGAAGGTGCAGATGTGTGTCATTATAGTTCATAAAGGCCTGGAAGGTCAGATAATCTAGGTGCCACCTGGATGCTCCCCTTCCTTTCTGTGCCAACCCCGCTGCCATTCCATTGGTTTCCCACAATGCCTCTCACGCCTGCGCCTGTCCGCTATCTCCACTGCCCAGCTGAGTCTAGCCCTCATCAGCGCCCCCTGTAGGAACACCCGAGCTCCCAACCAGTTTCCCCACCTGCTCTGAACCTTCCTCCCGGCTGCCCTCTTCATAGGAAAGACGTTAATCTGATTGTTTTGTTTCTCTGTTCAAAACCTCCAGTGGACCTGGATATTTGAAGATATTAAGAAATTGTTGATTATTTTTGGTGATGACAGTATTTTGGAGGTTTTTGGGGGGGAGATTTATTTTTTAATATTTTCTATTTTTTAAATTTTCTATTATTTTGGCTATTATTTTTTTCTGGAATTTGCATCATAATAACATGGGTGGACAAAGGAGCACGTGTAGGTGAGACCAGACTGGCCTTGAGTTGAAGGTCTGCTAAAGCTGGAGGCAAGTAGAGGGGAGCTCTCCTTATAGTCCTCCAGATGTTGTTATGTTTGACATGTCCCCTGCAAAAATTAAATGAAAAAAAAATCCTTCAGGGGTCCCTACCAACAATTGGACAGAGCCCAAATGCCCAGAGCTGGCATCCCATAGCCTCATGTCCCAGCCTCTTCTCTCCGCTCTGGAGGGTCTCCCCACCTCCCCTGTGCACTGACATCCTAGAATGCACCCCACACTGGCCTCTGCTGCTTCTCATTTAAAGGGAACAACTTTATGTGCTCAAGACACATCCCAAGCCCAGCAGGGTGGCTCACGCTTGTAATCCTAGCACTTTGGGAGGCCAAGGAAGGAGGATCACTTGAGCCCACAAGTTTGAGTCCAACCTGCACAATATAGTGAGATCTGGTCTATTTAAAAAAAGATACATGTCTTTTTTAAAATGAATTAAACTCATCTCCTTTCCCCAATACCCTCGAGGCTGCTTTGTAGCCTCCACGGCTCTGTATATTTACCTGCTTTCTGGCCTAAATCACATTGTGTTTCTAATACCTGCTTCCTTATCTTTCATTGAATCAATCAATCAAT